AATAGAAAATTGAATCAAGTTCGATATTAGAGGACTCCACTTCCCTTCACTTAGCTGGTCAATGGAAATTCTAGAGGCGTGAAATTTAATATACGCACCGTAAACGCTACTTTTCGTTAAAGCATTGGGTGACAAACGAACAAATAATCCACCCGATGGTTACACATTTATCCGCAATTAAGAATCAGAGTGCCGATTCGTTGCCAACCTTGAGGACTAAAATGAAATAGCTCAAATCCATCCAGTAAAAAGGCCTCCGGTTCTCTACACTTACCATACAAAACAGCAGTATTAAGCTGCTATTTTACACTGGTATTCTGTGAGAGCATGGTCCTTCTCTAGTCGAGCCGACCTACTTGTGCTACAAATATAGTCGCAAAATGGCTCTACCACGTAAATAACTGAAATATTGAAAAAATTGAAAAAATTTGACGTAGTACAAACATTGTTAGAGCAGTGGATATAAATGTGTGTCTCCAGTCGAGTGGACCGATTCCTGATGGAACTATAATATAGCTGTGAGTAGAGCCACACCTACATGTGAAAAAATTAACTGTGCTAAATTTAATCGCAATTGGACGATAAGTTAAGGACGAAGAAGATATAAGCCACCAGCCAGCAAACGCAGTCTACTTCACCTGAGAATGCAGTTCAGAGGCGAAACACGTGTCGTTTATCAACGGTCGTGTGTCTGCCCTAGTGTAGTGGTGTTGGAAGTAGTTGTGCTATGATTTGTGATGACGGGGGATAGTGCACGCAATTGAGGGGAGCGGAAGTTACTCTTCAAACTAGGTAAGACACGTTATTTTATTTTATTACGTGTCTTACCTAGTTTGAAGAGTTATTAGTTAACTAATTTTAAACATATTTAATTTCGAGTTGAGTCAACGCAAAAGTTCAACATGGTGGGCTCCTTGTTATCTTAAAACGCTTAACAGGAGGAGGTCTATGTCGAGTACTGAGACCTATACACGGCTTTTTCTGATAAGTTTACTGTTTTACTTTACGTATTTGTATAGATGTAGCTCCCATTGTGTATAAAAGTAAAAGAAAGGAAAAAAATCATATTAATACGTACGTAACTTATTATAACAAAATTATGAACAACGCGTCACAAATACGGAATTTATAGACGAAGAACAGTTGACTATTTCGGTGTTTTAAATCTTTATCGTCGTTAATAATATCTTACGTTTTCAATTTTCATATAACTAGTAGACTATTACGGTCTCTTCTATTTTAAACTCAGCTTGGGTTTAAATTAAATAAAATACCCTAATATTCTATATATTATAGGAATTTCGAAATTCCACTTAATGAAAGACTGAAAGGTTTTCATTATAATATTTTAATAAGTTTGACAGACAAACGGGCGCACAGTTCACATGATTGTTATTGAATCGAAATAAGAAAGGAAAGAAAAAGAAGTGCCTTGGTTTACCGTTTGTGAGTATTATTATAGTGAAGTTGTACAATATTCGTAGTAAATACAAAATAATAGGTAACTTAATTCATCTTTTGAAAGAGATAACAGACTTAGTAAATAACTAGCGTTCCACCCCGGCTTTGCACGGATGATGTCAAACTGAGTTCCAACTGAGTTTTTAAACCATCCAGGGACCTGCTCAAATACTCACAAAAATTTCATCAAACCTATTTTAAAAACAGCAAAAAACTACAACAAAAATTCATCAAAATTGGTCGAGCCATTTTCGAGTTTTTTCGAGGCTAACGGATAGCACTTGATTTTATATATAAAGTTTTAGCAATTACCCTGATTAAAGTAGAATTTAAATTTCGTATATTATGTTGTTACACAGCAGTGTTTTCAATATTTCTATCAGACATTTTGTTTGTGATATGAACAGATAAAATAATTGGTCGTGGTTGCAAAAGTTTAAAATTGTGTGGAAAGGATAGTCCCTATAAATGAATTTCATATGTTATTTTTAGAAGTAAGTTCATTCTGATTGTAATCACAAGATAAATAAATTATGATTAATAGAAGTGCCACTTTACCACCACAACAACCTATCACTCATCGAGGCCTCTTCTTTCACTGTAAGAAGCACAGCATTAAGCTGCTATTTTACGTGATATTCTGTAAGAGCGTAGTTCTTCTCCAGCCGAGTCGACCCATTCGTGTTACAACCATAAAATATCTGAGCGTGCTTCTACCACGTATAACAGCCAGGAAAAATTATAAATTTATATATAATCAAAGGCACTGCATAGCACAACGTTAGTACATTTATTTGACATAAATTGCAGTTTTCCGTGGAATGCAGAGCATCATACCATGTCAAACAGTAAGGGTTGTAAACTTGACGTAAGTGGGTACTGCATTTCGTTTGTCAATTTATTGTTGCAAAAAAGTTTTGTTCCTTTTCCAGTACGATAAAATTGTTATACATTCAAAAGTATCGTGTTCATCGTTCACATAATAAAAACTAACCATTATTTAAATATTTAAATAAAGTGTCAAAGCTTCCAAACTTCGTCTTCTTTTTCGAAAGTCATTTGCAGTTAAAAGTTCAAGAGAGAACTTGAAGCATTTAAAGTCATGACTTCTGTGGCAAATTTTATGAGAAGACTGTTCAGTTTTAGTAGTATTAAAACAGACCGAAATTTGTTTTTGTGATTGTAAACTATTTTTGTTTAACTCTCAGCAATTATAATTTTCACGAGTCGTATACTTTTTGTTACATTGTTTATAAAAAAACACTTTCCAGTTCAAGCTTGCCACTTTAGAACCTTTCTTTCCATTGGAGTTCAATTCCTCGAGCTATATGGTCAGCCTATTGCCAATTCAGTTGACTGATCCACCGGGCTATGCTATAAACTCTTGTTATTATGTGGATATTCTCGCTACAGATTTTATCCTGCAAAGAAATTCCGTGCATAGTCCTTTCAATCGCATGCTGAATGACCTTGAGCGTTCTCAAGGGAAGAACCGAAAGAACCATGTGTTAGCTTCGTAAGTTGATGGTCATACACTTTCGTTTTAAGATTCTGAAGAAATACAGACTAGGACATATGTTTTCCGAGAATAGTTTTCCAAACGAAGACTAGCCTAGTTGAAAACTTCGATTGATCTCTTGGTCGACGTTGAAAACCAGTTGCTGTTATGTGGATAATATGGGCTGTATATAGGTCAGGGACTGAGATGAAATACCCTATTAATACCAGATAAAAAGGTCTACGGTTCTCGTAACCACCATACAAAATACAAGAGCACTATACCATTATTTTATTAGTATTCTTTGAGATGTTGTAGTTTCACGGTTTTTTATAATATAAGAAAAATTTATTTAAAATTTTAATGTATTGTTTCGTGCGGGGTGAGTAAAAATGCCGATTAGGATGAGAAATGGATGTATTTTTTCACATGAACACCACGTTTATAAATATGATGTTGTTGTTGATGTTGAATCATTCAAAGGTGGGAAATTTACTGAGATATTTTATTTTTGTTATATAAAGCCGCATGAAAATTAGACAGTAAATAACACATTAACATGTTATGAAATTGATCTATCAATAAATACTACTAATTGGGTACGTATTATTTTCACTTCGACAGTTTTTAATTTATTTATTTATTTAGTTCAAATATTTTGTTGTTATTTTTTAGTAACGAAATTTTACTTCAAATTAGTAGTGTTTATTGATAGATTTATTTTATAATATGTTAATCCAAAATAAAAATAAAAAAAAACTGTAAAATATCAGTACCATAGGCTTCTATCCGTTTACTAGTTGCACCTTACTTTTTTTCCAGATGGTAAAAAATCACCTAGTATAATATACGGGGTGGTCAGGTGCTTGACTACTAAAGTACTTTTTTACGGTGTATATTCCTATATTAGGGACTTATAATACTAAGGTTTATGATACAAAAACATTGATATAGTAGGTCTCTTAGGTGGGGCATTATAATAGCAGAGTTGTGGCTTGAAGTCCCATGTATAAAAGACTTATAATAATAAGGTATATGAAATAAAGTAGATATGTGTAAAGTCTAAAATATGTAAAAGCATTACATTGATAGAAATGGGACTTGAAAAGGATCATTATAATAAACTATAGACTGCTTCACAGTTTCCGAGACGGAGGTAAACTTGGACTCGCTAACCGATATTGCCCTAGGCCAGTGATGGCGATCCAACGACACGCGTGTATCAACAGCACGCGACACAATATTTTGGGCACGTCACCGACAAAAAGTTCACTATGATGTATTAAGCCGGTTATACATGTTGGCCGAGCGAAGGTACCTACGTAGAGACACCCCATTTGTCTAGCGTCGCCATTGATGGTCGTCGCTCAAATGCCGAGCTGGCTGAATGAAGACGAGCGGCAACGTGTATATAGTTTGTTTGGTGTGCCTTCCCATCAATGGGGATCACCCACTTTTTGACTCATTTTCAAATTATAATATAAAGCTTATACATATATGTTATTTATCTCTGTTACTGTGATATAATCGACTTTTGTTTTTAATGTTTTTTCAAAGACATTTTATTAAGCCTTTATTTTCAGTCTTGCGCGAGCTGTCGTCTGGCACACACACGTCAAAGACCGCTCAGTTCGTAATACAAAGTTTTTTTATCAGTTTACCCTCAATGTTTAAATATGGATAGTGATAAACATAAATCGATAGATGGAAGTGATGAAAGTGATTCGGAAATCATACGTAAATGTGAATTAGAACTAAGCCAAATTGAGGATCGAAGAATCACTCGTGAATCTGAAATGGAACATGCAAACGCTGGGTTCACAACTCGAAAGCCTGAAGTGAGATCGGAGAAGAGAAAAGCATGTGAAGAAGATACAAACAGCGAAGATGGTTATGTGACAGTTGAAAAAAGAAGACCGAAACGTCTCTTAAGAAGTATTTCAACAGGACAGGGTCAAAATACAACATCGAAAGAAATCGGATCTAAATATGAGGTTTGTGTTACATCATTTAAAGAATTACCAAAGCAAATGGCGTTAGCTAAAGTATTAAGAAGTGAGAATATTCTGAATATTGAAACAATCAAATATAAGTCCCCTTTCAAAGTTTTGATTTGCTTTCAAAGTAATAATGATGCGGAAAAATTAATAAGTTGTAAAAAATTTCAAGAATTAGAGTACAAATGTCAAAAAACTTTTGAAACCACGGTTTCTTATGGATTGATTAGAGGTGTGGATTTGAAGTTTACAGAACAAGATATTTTAGCAATTTTGAAAAGTGATACCAAAATATTGGCGGTAAGACGACTTAAACGACTTGATTTAAATAGCAAGTGGGTCGAAAGTGAAACTGTAAGGATATGCTTTCAAAGCACTGTTTTACCTCTTTATGTCACGGCATATGAGTATAAATTTAAAGTGGAAAACTACACTTTTCCAGTAACACAATGTACCGGATGCTGGAAATTCGGACATATTATTAAAGTATGCCCGACTAAAAAAATTTTATGTCCTAAATGTGGTAGTACGGAACACATAAACTGTGATCTAAAAACATACAAGTGCCTCAATTGTAAAGGATTACATTTCGTTTTAGATAAAAGATGTCCTACGTATCTCAAAGAAAAAGAAATACGTATCACTATGAGTAAGGAAAATATACCTTATAGAAAAGCTCTTCAGATGATTATAAATAAAAATCAAATAGAAATGAGCAATAACTTAAATATACACTCTAAAGATACTGTTACGCGCTCCAGTCAACGATACACTAGCGCCATCTAGTGTCAGGAACGAGAGCGAGGGGAGCATTGAGAAAATGACATCACAAATCGCTCAACTGACAGCGCCTAGTCGAAACTCGAACGCTCGGTACCTTCCGCGTGTTTACTTGAACATTCTGGATATTTCTTTGCTAATTCAAATATATAGGCGCTGCAAGATGCGATAGAGTCAGAGTGAACTCGGCGACACAAGCGAAGCTTCGGAGTGGAATTAAGTGAATTAGTGTGTTTAAATTATTAGTGTTTTAACTTTAATTGTGTAAAGTAAATTAAAGTGTTAATTTAGGTAATTTTATCGGCAATTTTTATTGTCACGAACCTCAAGCTCGTAACAATACTTTTGTCAATCAAGAGATGACAGAACAGCCGACACAAGTTTTGTAAAACCGTGGAGCTCGAAGTTATAGTCAGGTTGTTACTAACGCTCAAGTTCATAAGGAAAATAATCAAGAATTAGCCTCAGATGAAGGAACAATACTCATAGAAACAAATAAAAAGGAGAAGACAAAACAAAGGCAAAGAAAAGGAAGGAAAAAAATAAATACAATAGAAAATGATACGCAGTTTAAGGAAGCAGAAGAAGAAAGCCAAAAAAGTACTTCAGATGAAGAAGAAATAAGACAAAAAACATTTGATTTTAAGGGACTCTTATTAAAAATTCATTCTATTTGGTACTCTAGAAAAAGATTAGAGCATAAAGTTATTGCGGTTTTCATGGCTATTTTTAAAGTAATTAAAACATTTGTGAGTAGTTTAATATCAGGACGAAAAATTTATGAAACAGTTTTAAATTATATGAATAATGGATAGTACAAATAACAAAAATATCGCTATTAATATATTACAGTGGAATACACAAAGTTTGAAACCAAAATTGATAGATCTTGGGGAGCTTTTGGTAAAAGAAAAAATACACATAGCCATACTAAGTGAAACATGGTTAGATAACGATGATAATATTAATATTAAAGATTATAATATCTATAGACGGGACAGATATGACTCTTATGGTGGTGTTGCAATCGTTACACACAACTCACTTAAAAGCGTAGTAAGTATAATTCGATTAACTAACCCAGGCATAGAAACCGTATGTGTTAAATTGCACAATTGTGATTTCTTACAAAATATTATATCAATCTATTGTCCATCTTCAGTTAGAACTCAGGTATCAGAATGGGAGGAGCTATTTTCCCTCTTCCCAAAAAAAATCGTTAATAGCAGGTGATTTTAATGGGCACCACAGCAATTGGTCGTACAAAAACGATGCACGAGGGGTGCAATTAGTAGACGCATCGGTAGAACATAGTAATTTTTCTCTTAATAATGGAATGCCAACAAGAGTTAAACTTGTCAATGGGTTGTTACAAGAAACTTCTCCAGATGTTTCTTTTGTATCAAATGATATTGCTATAAATTTCGATTGGAAGGTGCTCAATAAAAATCTAGGCAGCGATCATCTATTAATTAAATTAAGTACTAAAATCCCAAAACACTATAATGGCATTCAAAAACGTAATTTTAAGAAAATTGATTGGGTAGCATATACTAACATAATTAAAGAATCCTTTAGCGATGATTTATTAGATATTGATATATATGATGAAACATGTATTCAAGAAATGTATAACTTTCTACTTTCTCAACTTGATAAAGCGGCTGATACTAGTATACCTACTATAAAAGTACGCATTGATTCAGCAACAAAATTTAAACCCCGAAATTATTGGAACCCAGCCCTGTCTAGAGCAGTTGCACAAAGAAGATTAGCCCTTCTGAATTTTAGACGTAATCCAACTCCCAACAATTTGACTCACTTAGAAGTAAAAACTAAAGAAGCTAGTAAACTTATAGTAGATGCAAGACGTAAATATTGGCAGAACTTTTGCGATTCGATAGATGGAGAAACTTCAATATCAAACATGTGGCAGCGCATGCGACGGATGAAGGGTATTCGTAAACAAAAATCATTCATTCCATTAAATCAGCAAGAAAAGCTTCTACGTTCACTCACACCGGATACTGCTACCGACGTATGTCCCAATTTTATGTCTAAAAATCCTTCATTAGAGACTGATTTTACAATGGCAGAATTGAAAAGTTGTCTTAAAAAAAAAGATACTGCTCCCGGAGATGACGAAATCACATATAGTATGATATATAATCTTCCCGATATCGCCAAAAAATTTCTTTTAATTCTTTATAACCTTGTGTTCAGGTCTGGAAATATACCAAGTCAATGGCGTAATGTGCTGGTTATACCTATACCAAAAAATAGTGGCCCATCTAATTCTGATGTTAAGCTGAGACCAATTTCCTTAGTGTCATGTCTTTGTAAAACTTTCCACATTATGATGCTCAAACGACTAGAATGGTTCATTGAAAAAAATTGCGTATTTTCGCCATCGACAATTGGATTTAGGAAATCACAATCTTGCTTAGACTGTCACTCTCGCTTGGTAACATTTATACAAATTGGATTTACACAAAATATGCCCACTTTAGCTTGCTTTTTTGGATATTGAAAATGCTTACAATAATGTTGATATAAATAGTGTCTTAAAAATATTAGATAACCTACAAGTTGGTAGTAGGTTTTGTACATATTTGTGGTCATTCCTAAGCAAAAGAAATTTACGGGTAAAATCTCAAATTGAAAATAAAGTACTTAAAAGAAGCACAAATAAAGGATTAGCACAAGGAGACCCAATATCCCCTTTCCTATTCAATATAGCGACTTACAGAGTCTGCCATTTAATATCACAACACAACGTAAATATTATTCAATATGCTGATGACTTTGTTATTTATATAAAAGACAAAGATTTAAAAATTTGCGAGTCAAAGATCAAAAAACGCGTTATATTGTATAGTAGAAATATTAAACGATCTAGGTTTACAGCTGTCAACTGAAAAAACAAAGTTATGCCTGTTTAGTGGAGGACGTAGACGAGTCCTGCCTAAGGTAACAGTTAACGAACGCTCACTGACTTCCTTAAATTGCTTTAAATATTTGGGGTTGTGGCTAGATAGTAACCTACTCTGGAACAAACACATTAATGAGATTACAGAAAAATGTAATAAGTTTTTAAATATACTAATGGTAATATCTGGGTCGTCGTGGGGAGTTCATCCTAAACATATTCGTCAGCTGTATTTTTCGTTAATAAGAATCGATTACGGTAGTTTTTTATTTGATAATTGTGCTAATGTTCACTTATCAAAATTAGATAAAATACAAAATAAATCGTTAAGGGTTATTGGTGGTTTTATCAAAAGCTCTCCAATACATGTAATGGAAAGCGAACTTAGTGTACCTCCATTGTATATTAGAAGATTATATCTAGCTTATAAATATGTTTTAAAAGCCAGCTCTTTTTCGAATAATATTTCAATTGATTTGTTGAAGCAGCTTAGCAGTCTCTGTGAAACAAGATATTGGCAACGCAAGAAAATCCCACTCTTAGCTAAATCTTACAATAAGATTAAAGTTATGAAAATACATTCATCTCCTTTTCTCGAATCATTTTCGCTTAACACTTGGCTGTCTCGCATTGATATTGAAAATATAATATTAAGTGAATTAGAGTCTGTTACACAATCTAAAAAATTCTATGAAATAAATTCTCTTAAAGTCAATATTATCAAAGAACTTGACAATAAATATCACGATTGGCATAAAATCTATACAGACGGATCAAAGAGTGCTAAGTTGCAAGGGGCAGCTTTTCTTGACCCATCTCAAGCAATTTCTAGATCATATAAAGTTACAAATGACGTTTGTATTATGACCCTCGAACTCATTGCAATATCCGAAGCCTTAAGATATGCCGCAAGCTATAACTGGAACAAAATTATCATTTACTCGGACAGCAAAACTGCTATCCAACATTTGGCTCGATCCGCCTCTGGAATCAGAGGTGTTTCGATAGCCTATGACATACTTTCGCAAATAAATCAGTTCAGTCTATGCGGCATCGGTGTAAGGGTGCAATGGATTCCAGCACACATTGGTTTATTGGGTAACGAGGAGGCGGATAGATTAGCGAATTCTGCTTGCATAAATGGTGTAGAGTATTATATTGATTCTTGCTACTCAGAAATATTACCAAAAATAAAAAATTCATGTTATAATAAATGGAAAGAATTTTTCAATGAACGTTCTAAAACGAAAGGTATTTGGTATAAAACGATACAGAGTGAACCGCCTCGAATACCTTGGTTTATGGATACCAAATTAAACAGAAATACTATTAAATTAATATTTAGATTAAGAGCAGGTCACATTCCATCAAAAAAATTTCTTACTTGATGAAAAGAGCTGATTCACCTAACTGTGAAATTTGTGGAGTAATTGAAGACATACATCATTTTTTAATGGAATGTGAGCGCAACCGAGGTGCAAGGGAATTATTTGTAAGAACATATAATATAAATGTGTACAATATAGGTGTTGCTCAGAGCATCCTACATGCCCCCACCTCGGATATTGCATTAAGTATGTGCAGGTTAATAACAAATGTATAGATTTTAAGTTAGCTTTAATGGGATTGACATGTTAACGAACAAAAATCCCTAAATAAAACCAGAATAAAAAAAAGCCTTTATTTTACTTTATACTTATTAATGCATTTTAATTATTCAAAATATTATATGTATGATATTTTTAAATGACTTTATATATAAATTAATAATTATTTATTAAAAGAATAGGTGTCGTAACAATTTGTCTGTCTCGTTAGTCTAGTGATCGTTAAAGTAACTGCTAATACCGGATTGGGTCAAAATCAGTTATTGGGTTTTTCTGTCAAGAAGTTCTCAATACCAAACCGGAGTCAGGGGAGTTGGCGGCGTTTTGCCCGCGTGTCTCGGCAAGCATGTAAAGCAGTTTGTCCGACGCCTGATCTCTCTCCGGTCGTCTCGGATGTCATCCTACCGGACTATGAAAGGAGGGAATAGATTGCACTTGTGCTTATGCATGCACTCGGGCACTATAATGCT